GAAGGAATTTAAACTATATATAAGCATCAACACTGTTTCAAAAGGAGTTGATGGTACATAAAAGGCGGGTATAACCCCCATATGTTGGTGCAGAGGGCTCGATTGGTGCAAATGATAATCTCATGACTACAGTGTAGTTGTTGTTTTTGGGGCTCCAATATCAGGATGAGATGTTCGATCGAACAACAAACAAGACGTAATTTGGAGCGATCAACAAACGAACAGACAAAACGAAAGCAATAAAAGGCAAACTACAAAACAAAAACTGAAACTCAAACAGTATAAATAAAGGTGGTAATGAGAAGAAGGTCTACATGTTAAATAAACAAGATGCCAAGTTAGCCTGAATCGCTAACATGGTTTAATATGACTACCGTTTATCAAATTTAAGACGAAACAGCTGTAAATTTCCATGAAATTTTATTGAGCCACACCGCAAAGCGTACACGTTTCTGGTCCAACAATACATCTGTGTTAGGGTTGTAACGAGTACTCATATACGGGTTTCAATAGGAAACCAGTTGGAATGTGTACCCGGGGTTCTTCAGAAGAAGTCATTTGAAGTTTTTGACATGGTTAACCCCCGTGGCCTTGAAAGTAGGCCATTGTTATTTTTATTCGCATCTTTGTCAGACTCCAAAGATCATGATGATAGACTTCTTGGTACTTCAGAAGAAACGTTTGACACGAAAAATAAAACAATGTTTTTCAGTGCCATCAGAATACATGTGTATTAAATCTGATCCAAATCCTTTTAGAAGAACTGGAGATGAAGTTGAAAATGCAACAGCCAATCAGAGGCCATGATGGCCATATACTGGATTCAAAATCAAGCCAAAAAATAATAACACGTGTTGTGTTATTGGCTGCGATACAAATACTTTTACCACATCTGATTAAAATCTGACGAGTACAACTTGTTGAGAAGAAGTCGAAAATGTGTCATCCAATCAGAGGTTATTGCAGCTATATCGGATTCCAAAACGAGCCGGAAAATAACACATGTTCAGGGCCACAAGACAAAAAAGAACTTGAAAAGAAGAACGAGAGATCCCAGAGATATCTTGAATCCCATCATTGTACCATCTTCATTCTGTGTCAGTTCGATATTTTCTCTTTTTTTTTCTCTCACCTGTTTGAGTCATGTAAACAGTAAATCTACCTTGAGGTAACCATTTTGTTTATTCCATCAATCTCAAAAGTAAACATGCACGATATAGGACGAAGGAGAAGCTACAGAACAAATTTGAGAAAGATCCATCCAGTACTTCCTGAGAAATAGTGATAACAAACCATCACTGTCATAATCCAAGATGGGTGCATGTCGGCCATTCCGTTTTTCCAATCAGTCGCAAAAGTAAACATGCACAGCAAAAGACCAAGGTGAACCTGCATATGAAATTTGAGAAAGATCGCCGAGGTACTCCCGGAGAAATAGCGATAAAACATTCAATGTCAAAATCCAAGATGGCCAATTCTGTTTATCCAAGCCGTTTCAAAATTATACTTGCTCGATTAAAGACTAAGGGGAACCTACATATCAAATTTTAGAAAGATTTCTAGCGATAACAATCATTTACTGTCGAAATCGAAGTTTGCCGCCTGTCGGCCATTTTGTTTTATCCGTCAGTCTCAAAAGTAAACCTTTCGGGTAGGTGAGCTAACAATAAAGGGATTTTGCCTAATTTTTCTTCAAATGTTTACATGTCTTTCTTCTACCGATTCCTGTGACCGAATTCTCACGACACAAATGTCAGCTTTGATTAGATGTATCGTATCCTTTACTTTGCCCATGACTTTGTATTGGGGCTTGTCATTCACGATCTTCTTAAGGTTCATTGGCAATACAGTTTGTTTGCAATAACTGTTTGGAAACAGCACAGCTTACTTGTTTGGAAAGAATTCAAAAGGCAGTCAAGTCCAATACAGATTTTGAAATCTGTTTTGTCTTCCGTACAACAATCTTTGGCCCTCTAAAAAACCTCGTTAGCGCTCCATAAAGACTGTGTTCATACTACCGTAAACGCCGTCAAAAAGAAGGTCAATCCTTATATTTATATCCAAAAAATGTTCAAATGCTACAAATAGTCCATGCGGAAATGAGTAAATTAAGAAAATTCAGTGACTAACACTATTTTTCTTCCTTTCATAACTTTTCAATTCTAAATTAAGCAATGTGAGAAGCCTTTCAAACATTTGTATTCATTACAACTGTTGTCATGTACGCTCATTGACACACTGCTCATGGAGTGACGCGGTCGAATGTTTCGGAACAAGCCGCCATTGTTTACGTTACCGTCAAAGATATTTGAATGTGTATCTATGGTATAACAAGTTTGTCAGCATCACTTTGTTGTAAAATTATACAAAGTGGATCCCCAATATAGATGGTGAGGGAAACAAGCAATGGTTGACATTTCGGACTATTTTCTCGCTGAAGTGTGAACGGTGCCATATTTGAAACAAATATCAATCCGCCGAGGCCTTTTTTCATTGCGTATACGCTAATTTATACGTAGTCAGAGTTTACTAAGCTGAACAAGGGGGAAATGTAAATATAAACATGTATATACATACTAACTTACATGTACAAAGTTATAACGTTCATATGTTACCACATCTCGTTATTGTTGGGTTTAAGATTTATAATTATATAAAAGTTCCTGTATAGTCCAATGATTATCTAGTCTTTCCTTAAACGTGGTTAATGTTTGGTGCCGTCACAAAGCTCTCGGGTAGGTTGTTTATGTTTGGTGCCGTTACGACATTTATAATTATATAAAAGTTCCTGTATAGTCCAATGATTATCTAGTCTTTCCTTAAACGTGGGGTAGGTTGTTTATGTTTGGTGCCGTTACTATACGCCCTCGGGTATGTTGTTTATGTTTGGTGCCGTTACGACGCTCTCGGGTTTATAGGTTGTTTATATTTGGTGCCGTTACTATACGCCCTCGGGTAGGTTGTTTATGTTCTGTGCCGTTACTATCCGCCCTCGGGTACGTTGTTTATGTTTGGTGCCGTTACGACGCTCCGGGTAGGTTGTTTGTGTTTGGTGCCGTCACTATACGCCCTCGGGTAGGTTGTTTGTGTTTGGTGCCGTCACTATACGCCCTCGGGTAGGTTGTTTGTGTTTGGTGCCGTCACTATACGCCCTCGGGTAGGTTGTTTATGTTTGGTGCCGTTGCGATGCTATTGGGTTTATAGGTTGTTTATGTTTGGTGCTGTCACTAAGCTCTCGGCTAGGTTGATTATGTTTGGTGCCGTTGCGACGCTATCGTGTACGTTGTTTATGTTTGGTGCCGTTGAGACGCTATCGGGTAGGTTGTTTATGCTTGGTGCCGTCACTAAGCCCTCGGGTAGGTTGTTTATGTTTGGTGCCGTTACGATGCTCTCGGGTAGGTTGTTTATGTTTGGTGCCGTAACGACGCTCTCGGGTTTATAGGTTGTTTATGTTTGGTGCCGTTACTATACGCCCCCGGGTAGGTTGTTTATGTTTGGTGCCGTTACTATACGCCCCCGGGTAGGTTGTTTATGTTTGGTGCCGTTACTATACGCCCTCGGGCACGTTGTTTATGTTTGGTGCCGTTACGACGCTCTCGGGTTTATAGGTTGTTTATGTTTGGTTCCGTTACTATACGCCCTCGGGTACGTTGTTTATGTTTGGTGCCGTAACGACGCTCTCGGGTTTATAGGTTGTTTATGTTTGGTGCCGTTACGACGCTCTCGGGTTTATAGGTTGTTTATGTTTGGTGCCGTTACGACGCTCTCGGGTTTATAGGTTGTTTATGTTTGGTGCCGTTACTATACGCCCTCGGGTATGTTGTTTATGTTTGGTGCCGTTACGACGCTCTCGGGTAGGTTGTTTGTGTTTGGTGCCGTCACTATACGCCCTCGGGTAGGTTGTTTATGTTTGGTGCCGTTACGACGCTCCGGGTAGGTTGTTTGTGTTTGGCGCCGTCACTATACGCCCTCGGGTACGTTGTTTATGTTTAGCGCGTTACGATGCTCTCGGGTAGGTTGTTCCATATATGGACTTTCGCAGCTGTGGTAGACGTTTTAAAGAGGATTGTACATGTCCTTGCCCGTTGTGGCAAGATATTTTTAAGAGTTTCCTCTTCTGCTGTTTTATATTTTATATATATGACATTTGACATCTCATAAATATAAAAAATCTCATAAATAAATTTTGCAATATATAATATATTACACATCTTATAGAGATATATCTCATTTAATCACAGTATTGATATTGCTCAAATGAATTGAAAATGTGAGATTGGATTGTAATATTCTAAATATATATCGTCCGAAACTACGTATACAAGATCAATTTAGAACGTGTGCACCAGAAGCGCCCATCCTATTCGTGGGAGAAATCTTTGCAGTTCACCAGGTGGTGTACGGTCACAGATGGCTCTGAACTTTAATCAAACCGTTAAAGCACTAGGATTTTACCGAGTAAAGCTATGTCAATCGGAAATCCCTCTCCATAGGAAATTCCGATCGGAACTGTGCTCGACATAAGTACGGCAGAAAGACCCTATCGAACACAGGGATATGTCACATATAACACGGTGATACAATATATATATATATATAGTAGATCTGTGGCGTCAATATGTCTTTAGTTTTATAGAATATGACATATCCCTGTGCTATTGGGAACTATATCGAAAATGTTGAATTTGTTGTATTATCGCACTAATTAAACTGAACGGATTGCTTGTGATAATTAAGAGGAGTTTTATTATAAAACATTAATAATAAACACTTTATCATTCATAACAAGTCAATTCAAAATTAACTATAACAATTAATTTTTTTATCAGAAATTAATATTTCAAATATATATGCATACATTTCCTATTTCCAATTAATGAAGTACATTCTGTAAAGACCTCCGTATGACGTCAGAGCTGGAGGATTTCTCACTACTTCCGTGACGACAAAGTGACACATCCGGTTGACACATCCGGTCTCTAACAGCCCCAGTGTGTATCTCATAAATAAATTTTGCAAGAGTGTATCCCGTACTCGTGTCCACAGAACTTCACCCTACATGAACAAACAGCCTTGATTATATCAGAACATCTCGTGTGCTTGTTATTCCAAAACAAGAGGCCCAATGTGCATGCATCGCCCACTTGCTATTATTCTCACACCTTTAAGCTTAAAAGTGGACCAAGATAAAATGTACTTAATTAGTATCGGGCAGGTGAGCTTAAACACAAAGCCGTGACACATTGAACTTAAATATACCAACAAATCAAACGCCGTCTTTCAAACGTTATATGACATGGCATGGAAATATTGATTTAGAATGGTTGCATCTCGGAATTTCACAGCATGGTCAGTGGATTAAAGGAGATTCTGTTTCTATCTTGCAAACGCAGATTTTCTTTAAAAAGTGATCAATGGCGGAATTAGGTCGTTTTCGCAGTCGTAGCGAAGATCTTTCCTTGTTAATATATCGTGATCAGCGTGTGCTTGTTACTGATATTTATCACAATATTTAAACAAGAGAACGAACTTCGCTACGAGCGAAAGTGTGCGTTGGCTAATTTGTGTCATTTCGTTGTTTCTCTCTTTGCTCAAATTCTCGACATTTTAAATAATGAATTAAGGTGTCAGAGTTATCGTCTTTAGGGTACAAAAGGACATAATAATAATAATAAGTAAGGCTTAATAAATCCTGTTTTTAGGGCTATTTCTTCAATCTTGTCTTCTTCAATGACGAATAATAAAAAAGCGGAAAGTGGTTCGCTGATCAATTAATGTGCATTGTTTTTCGTCTGTTCACAAGTGCTTTGTGTTCTTTCCGGGGCAAAGGAAGAAATAAGGAAATGACACAAATCCGCCAACATACAATCGGTATGTCTGAACAGGAATTTAATTGACCTAAATACTGACCAGTTCCAAATTAACACTGTATTGCTGTTTATAACTCATAAAGTATAGAATGTCAAAACGAAAATCCATTTATCCTCTATGAGGTTGTTATTCATGAAACAGGAGCGGGAAAATGCACTGCCAAAACGGGGTTCGAATCCGGAACTCTCAGAACACGAGACAGGCGTTCTAACTAATTGAACTACCCGTCGCCGACGATCGACCCAGTCCAGTTCCGCTACATTTCTAAGACTAAAGCATGAAATTGACGAGGTTCCTTTATAGTGTTAACGATGATGCTGTATAGTGACTGGTATTGGGTGTACTTACTGGTTAGAATTCTCCGTCGACTCGACCACGATGCTGTGTAGTTTAATAGTATGCGTTGTATGATGAATATGAGGTTTAGGTTCGTCATACCTCACGCGCAGTGACGTCACTTGCCCTATATCTGTGTTTGTGGCGATGACGTGCTTCTCTACCATACCACTACGGAAGTACTCGTTACGGCTGAATACAGATATAATATATATTACGCATTAAATCCCAGAAAATAATATATCTCTACACCGGAAGTCGCCGTACAACTTCCGGTCTTTTAAATTCACTAATTGTAAGTGATTCAGTATGGCAAAACAATGTGATCGTTTGATGTTAAACATGTCTTGTGCCTTTAATTGTCTGTTAAGACACAAAAACAGTATATTTCTCTATATTTCTCTATGCACTAGCAAGACAAGACAGCGATGAAGCATGCTGGGATATGTACCCATTTACGGAGGAAGTATTAATAAAGGCATGTTTGTATCTGCATGCTAGGATGTATGTCACATTTATTTGTAGACAAATGTACCAATATATGTTCATAAAAAATAAATTCAGCCAAACAGCGGGCAGGGATGTGTATTGTTCGCTGAAAAGTCAAAAGAGGGGCAAGATGATTTGGATATGTAACTACATACACATGTAAATATTAATTAACTCACGGAGAAAACTTGATTTCCTCGGACCTGCCGTGGTCGCCCACGAGTGTGACAAACAGTTCTCCGTATGACACACCAGAGAAATGCGACACGTGAATCTCCACATAATACTCGTGTGCTGAAAAGGGACACGTAGGGGTCATGAAAGTAAACAACAATGACGTCAGGTATGTTTGAGGTATTTCCTCCGAGCACGTGTCAGGTACATTATTTTGTTCTAAACAAATCATAACAAGATCAAATAGAGGCAGTATGCTTATCAACTTTGATAATGAAGTTTGTAACCGATAATTATGACCAGAAAATAACAGCTTGCTGTGTACGTGCAAAATGTCTACCTGTAAACTTTATAAAAACTCTATAACAGAGTCATATAGATGTATACACGTATAGGTTACATTTGCAATAGAGAACTTTACCAACTATATCAAACCGTTCTTCTTGATTATTCGTTACGTAAACTAACCACAATAGGGCGTGGACCCGGCTGTACTCAGGTAGAAGGACCCTCTGTGGCTAGTTTGGTCAGCCTCGTACCCCATGACTGGACATCCATCAGAAGGACAGCCCATACAGGCGCCATTATCGAACTGTGACGAAGACGAGCACGTGTGGGCGTAAAATTTACACGGCGAGTTAATGGATTCGATGAACAGCTGTGTGGCTCGGGAGTGACTGCACGAAATTGTGCCAGCAGCGCCTGAAATATGGAGGGCTCTGATGATCATAATAAACCTACCATTTTGAGCACCATTGAGGACTTGAGGAACTAGATGTATGTCTTCAAACGTTTAACATTTGAATCCACAAGAAGTAGAATAAATAGTTTAATGTAGCAGTGATATGATACTCTGTGGGATAGTGCATCAACGGCAGAAAAGATTTTTTTTAAATTTGGTTAAATAAAATGTGTAAAAGACAACGACAACACGATTTAATTGTAACGGAACCTGTTAAAGAAGTTCCCAAAATCGATCCCATAGCCGCAAAAGGTCCACCACAAAAACTCGCCATATTCAGTTTGAGCAAAAATAAAGCAATAGACAGGGACCGTCGGCATCACCTTGGCGTAAAGCTATGAATATGTCAATCTATCAGACGACCGATTCGAAAATAAAACGCGTAACGCATATCTATCTTCTCATGCCGAGCAATGTACCCCTGCTGGAAGGGAGTTGAGAAATGAATTCACATGACTACTTTCATTTATCGCTATCCAATCGATTTGACCGGTTACAGCAGAGTTTTATGAAATACGGTAGCACCTATAGTAATCGGATGCTGCTTTCAGGTGAGCCTTGATAAAGCCATGCATAAACATTTGCAGGACCGCCAGTATTTATACCCGAAATTGTTACATTTAAAAGCAGACCCACCGGTTGCTCCGCATAAACGAACAGACTCCTGCTGTTACCTACTGCACTGATCGTAAGAGGTGACTAATGTGTGGAACCCCCTGCAGAACTGATATTTGCTTTTGTGCCCTCTTCTTAGGGTCACAAAAGCAACCAAAATAAATCTGCTGCACTCATTGCAATATTTCGGATCTTTGTATTTTTCTCTACTTCGAACTAACTTTTGTTTTCTAGCTTCTTGCTTGACAATACTTCACCTAGATGCGTAAGGCAATGGGTTCTGTCCCCAGGCCGGGATATACCAAAGTCCTTAAAAATGGCGGAATGCTCTGCTGGGTGCCTTCGGCATTGCATTTCAGTGAGGTAGCACTATAAAGACGACATCAGATCCGCGCTATCACAAGGAAGCAATTACACCAACATACCTTACACAGCAATCTTACACACATGTACGCATACACATTCAGGCACATCCTTTTAATGACATTAATTAAACCAAAACCAAAATAATCCCAACAAAGCTCATGTGAAATATCATAAGTTTCCGGCCATCAGCAAAATCATTAAATCCCCCACTTTGTTTTGGGGAATTAACTCATTAACCCCTGAAATTTCATAATGAACCGTGCTATTCCAACTTTTAAATTGGAAGAGTGTAAATGTGTCTTCAGGGGTGAATGAGTTAAGAAGACTAAGAAACAGGGTAACCCGTGTTTAGAATAAGCATACCAATCTCGTATATATTACCTCCAACAGAACCGTGCAGAATGCTGCCGATGGCGCTGACAAGGGGTAGCTCAGCACATCCGGGCTGATGCTGCCCTCCGTTAGGGTAGAAGTCCACATGGCCGACAGGGTCCTTCAAACCGTAACCTACAACACGTTAAGGTCCAAATAAGTACCAAATCACACTGACCACAACAGTGACCATTACCATGGTTGCTCTTCCAGGCATGCTGTTAAAGTACACAGATATCATAGTTAAACTAGGCCGAGCTGTGTCCCGAACATTTTAGTTCATGAACTCAAAAGGTTTATTTCAATTGGATATCATTGCTGGATTAAAGAAGAGGTCAAATTATCGAACTGTCTGAACTGACGTAATACGTGTCAGAAGGGAAAACTCAAGTTACGGAGTATTATATGTAGCTGTCTATTTAGATTGATATTGATGTTGGAGTTGAATTTTAAACAGTTTCTGAACTCTCCTGTATCTGTCACAAAGGGTTTATTTGTTGGATTTTTTTGCTGCGTTGAACTGCTTGTCCGTTTGCTAAAAAGATTTCAATGTGACAGAAATACATATATTCCGTCCACAACACTGATGTCCCAACTTTTCAAATCTTATTGAGAAAAGGGCTCATCAACCCGAGGTTGAAACTAAAACTTATAATTTCCTTTTTTTTAAACGGTCAATACAAAACATTCTCGTTTACACAAACTGCATTGGACGCACGGAATAATCTTTCGATATATGTGAGAGTGGCACCAGTAGCCAGAATCTTTTGAATAAAATACAAGCGGATGAAATTTGGAAAACACCTTTGTCAAAGCTAGAGTTTTAACATACTATTTTAAATGATGATTTAATGCATATGATTTGTTCGCAATGATTTGACAATCAGAGATTTGTGTGATCCTATTAGTAAGAAAATATTTACATATATGCATCATTGTAATTTCATTTTTCACAAAAACATCTCTGCAACCTAAAAAAATGCCGGATTCTCTATTTTAAGTTAAGGAAATATTTTGTCATGTTATTGAACAGTTGTGAAACTTGCACCTGCTACAACATGGCATCCATATATTAGAGAATGGATTTACCTCTACAGTGTTAAAATTAGGACTTTTGGATCGGTTAATGTCGTGTAATCGTAGCGTATCAACCCCGTAAGCCTGTTAATACATGTATACAGAGGAGCAACATGTAGCTCATTCGTACAGGATCTGATATCCCATACAACCTCTTGAATAACACATCAGTGCCGGGCTCTTATACTAAACCTCATTATTACAGTTCATACGATGTCCAAAAAGCAACAATTCCGATTTCTTAGATACCAGCTAAACGAAATAACAGAGCCCGTATTCATGATACCGCTCTTATGCTCAAGTATGGATTTTATGATCACAACATTCTTGCAACTCGCTTAAATCATGTGACACATCCGAAAGGTTAAATGTAAATATTGAAAACGGTATTCGGCTTTTAGACTCACCAAAATTCTTTCAAATCATTGAGAAAATATGGATTTTTTTATTAATTCATCACCAGAAAAAAGAAATTGGACTTGAGCACAGAATATGAGTTTGAGCATGAGAACGGTTTCATGAATATGGACCCAGGTTGTACATTTTGTGTCTAACTTAAGGGTACCTTAAGGGTACACAGCTTTTTTGTTTTTCAATTCCAATAAATAGTATCAATTCTAAATTAAAATGTATATTGTTTTAACCAATTTGAAGCAAATTTTATCTGCCTGCCTCTTGAGTGTTGCTCATGAACTGAAAAATTTAAAACATGAAAAAAAATCACTGGAAAATCATATGGTGCGACAACATTATTTTTTTTAATTTTCTTAACATGGAAAACTATCATTTAAATAATTATTTCAATGAATATTATAATGTTGGAATAGGGTTCGAACAGGGATCCGAAATGAGTACCCTCGCGTTTTATATAACAAGGTATTTAACAGGTTCCTATAAAGTGCGAAACAAAAGCAAAATAAAAAGAAATGTGCCCCGATGTTCCAAAAAAAAACAAATTTCGGAACTGACATATCTTGGCACTTCGCTTTGCTCGTTTCGTTTCTGACAATACACTTTCAATGCTATTTCCTTTCATTGAGATTGTTTCGAAATATAAAGCTTCGAAGATATTAAAGAAATTTCGTTTCGTTTGAATTTCGTTTCGCACTTTACAGATCATTGACTGGTGAGAATTATTGATCGGCATGAACCCAAGAACGTACCCGAAACTCCAATGAAAACTGATCCATCTGTGTGAATGACGTCGACAAAAGTCGCGTCCGATTGGTCAAGTCTTTGGTCTGTGGGCTGGCCCCGGAAGTCCGGCTCTGCTGGGTCCAGTGCTGCAAAAATAACGCCACTTGTGGTCAGTAGATTTATTAAAATTAAATTTGGCGGCGATATAAATGACATCATTACACTAAGAAGATGATGATGAAGAAGAAAGGGATAAATGGAAAAAAAAGAGAAAGATTTTTTATATTAATTCTTCATACATAATTTGTTTCAAGAACCGTCTTTTGTTTTTTTCCATGTAATATCGACTACCGATCAATTTATTTAACTATTCTTCCTCCATTGCCAGTTTTGTAACAACTCATGGTAATTACAGCCAATAATCGTGGCTGTATATTTGCTGGAATACGGCCAGACTACGGCAATACATACTAGTACCTAAACCTTTTTTTGACCGATGATGTTGACCATTAACTGGACAAAGACGCATTCAATGACCTTTGATTCTTACACTATATGGTTCCTGCAGACGACCTTGTCTGATGCGTATAAAGGATAAAGTCGAAGGCCGTGACCCTGTAATGATATATGGCAGACGACACTGAACTTGTACATACCGGAGATACGGCCGATGCCCTTGACCCGATAGCCGATGTGTCCAGCAATTTGAGCCCCAAGGCTGTGGCCAATGATGTGGACTCTGCTGTAATCGAGTGATCTGTTGTCATGGAGATACGTCAGCGTCTTTGCAACTTCCGCCCCGACTAGGTAGGTATTTCCCACAGCGTGACCGTACGCCTGTTTGCTTCCGCCCTGCCAATCTACCACGATCACGTTAAAATCACCCTGAAATAATGACGTGTTTTGTAAATTTACAAGTACAGGGACAGGACAGAAGTTGTACGATACGGTTATAAATGATTTTATCTAAGAAATTAAATGAAATTATCTACAATTTTGACGGTATGAACCCCTGTTACACGCATGTATATTTCGTACTGCACGGTAGCATTCCATGAGTAAAGCAAACATCAAACCTATAAACATTGATGACGAAATGAATACACCCAGTTAAAATGTATCAAGGTATTTGATTGGGTTTAAATGAAAAAGCCTGACCGATCGCTAGACTGATACATATCATTTGAAGATTAACGAGGAGCGACGCCCGACTTTAAAGCCAGTCACTTTCCCGTTACGTTGCCGCGCGATTCTTTGAAGCACACCAACATATCCTGTCTCCTGCATACATACACGCAAGCACGCATACACTACACACATGGATGACCTTAGCTGTTACATGTAATAGGACTTTAAACAAAATTAAACTAAACCAAACCAAACTTGATGAACATCGAGGGATCAAACAAGTCAACTTGAATCATCCACAAGGTGCCATGTACAGAGCCTTCGATTTTGTCATGACCTAATATATTCCATGGGTGCAGAGAACGTAAGAGTGCGATGACAGAAAAGGAATAGATGAATTGTCAACTGGTCTTACCTTCTTCAACAGTTCGTCAGTCATCTGGACCACCCAAGCATCTGATCCGGAGTTGAGGTAGCCATGAATGACGACTTTGGTGTCCTTGGACGAGTCAAACAACGATGCGAAGTGCCCAACTTGGCTGGAATAGTGGTCCAAATCAAAGTTTACAGTCGGGTTGTGCGCGTGTGCGCGTGTGAATATTTTCATGTGCGTGTTTACCTGGCTCGGATCTTGAGGGACGGGAACGAGTCCATGTGAATTGAAACAGCCAAATTCCGGTAAACATTCCGTGTTCCGTCTCTGATCCTTTTGTCCAGCCGCAGACACGACCAAGCAGACAAGCACAAACGTCAACATAGCTGTTAGTTGCACTCTGGACAGTGGAACACTAGTACAGACCGACGGGATTATGGCAAATAATTATCAGCTTACGCTTCAGAGACGTCTATTTTTGGGCATGTGTCAAATACACCTGTCGCGAACGAAATTCTTTCACAGAATGTAAAATCATGATGTTGTCGTTTCTAATCTGAACGACAGCGTCACTAAACGGGACATTGACCTCTTATACAGTTAACTGTATGAAACCTGACGACAGCAGATTTTCCATAATCTTTAAACCTAAATTGGGCATTTTTTACTGACCGGCATATACAGAAATACTTTGCAGTGTCGGGGCTATTTTGGTCTAACACATTTAGGGGATAGTGCGTTGTTTTGAGTGGCTATACTGGCGATTATAACATGAAATTTGGGTTTGAACTCGAGCCCGATAGGTCGAGAGTTTAAACCAAATTTCATGTTCTAATCGCCAGTATAGACACGAAAAACAACTTACTATCCCCATTCTAACACACCTTAACAAATATACTACGCTAATATGTTTAGAAACATTGTACTTCCTTGAACGAAAGTACTTTGTGAGCTGAACTGGCGTCGTGTCATTCTGCAGCGGACTGACCGATTGGAAAGAAGCTTTCAAAAGTCGGTCATTTAGCCCCGCCCATACTGGCGAGAGCTCGATCAGTATGTTGACGAGGCGAATATTTGGATTGTTCGTGAACGTCCTGTAACCAAAGTTTATACGATACATTCGGTTTACTATTGAACAAGTTCTTACATTTCGATGTCAGTATGTATACCAATCTGTGCTTATCGACAAAATCGGTGATTATTTGCATAGATTTGTGAAGAGTTTTGTGTAAATGCATACGACACATGTGAAATGTTTCTAAAAAGATGCCTTCACACGGATGGAACGAACGTTTCAGTAATAAATGGAGGTAAGAACAGGGAATGTGTTCTTTTTACTTTTTACTTCATTCAACAAATGCATTTCATCGGTCGTTTCAAATATTCGCCTCGTCAACATACTGATCGAGCTCTCGCCAGTATGGGCGGGGCTAAATGACCGACTTTTGAAAGCTTCTTTCCGATTGGTCAGTCCGCTGCAGAATGACACGACGCCAGTTCAGCTCACAAAGTACTTTCGTACAAGGAAATACAATTTTTCTAAACATATTAGCTTAGTATATTTGTTCAGGTGTGTTAGAATGGGAATAGTACGTTGTTTTTCGTGTCTTTACTGGCGATTAGAACATGAAATTTGGTTTAAACTCTCGACCTATCGGTCTCGAGTTCAAACCCAAATTTCATGTTATAATCGCCAGTATAGCCACCCAAAACAACTTACTATCCCCTAATTAGAACATGGTCCGTATCCAATCAAAACACGCGTTGCAAACGAATCGTGTTAGAATTCATAATAGAAGGCGTTAATATATAATAATTATTGCAGAATATCCCTGTTACCCACTGCATGTATCGTGCGAGGCGACCAATGTTTGAACCCCCTGTAGAATTGGGGATTTGCTTTGGTGTCCTCTATTTGGGGACACAAAAGCGACCAAAATAAATCTGCTGCACCCATTGCAATATGTGGGATCTATATCTTTCTTTCTACTTCTAACTACCTTTTATTAGGTTCTGTCCTCAGGCCGGTACATACCAAAGTCCTTAAAATGGTAGTTGTTATTTCCTGCTTAACGTTCAGCATTTAGGGGAATGGCAACAACTGGTTCACCCGTTGTCAGTATAATGTGACCGGGCGGAATGCTGTACTGGGTGCCTTCGGCATGGTATTTCAGTGAGATAGCACTATAAAGTCGACATCAGATCCGCGCTATCACAAGGAGGCAACCACAACAGCATACCCTGTCTCCTGCATACACACACGCGAGCACGCATACACTACACACACGGAGGCACGTCCTTAAATGACCTTAGATGTTAATAGGACGTTAAACAAAACTAAACCAAACGCTCCTTTTTTAAAACCTTATTTCGCTCATTATTTCTTAAAATTCAAATCGTCGCCGTCGTGTAACATGATCAATATCGGGGAAACAAAATGATCGCATTTTCCTTCCAAAAGTCAGTAAATATTTTATCAGTCCGAAATAGAACACGAGTGTAAACATTATCAGGACTACTCACAAGACATCTGTTGTTGACCAGAACATGTTGCGCGATAAGAGGTCTTCAAAAGAGGCACTGAAGAGGGACATAGTAAAAGTAGACAATTTCACGGTGTGGAAATGCTCACGTTTTCCGCATTTGGTAAATTGGCACGAAAACGCAAAAACGCAAAAATTTAACATCGATATCACGGCCTTTTGTAGAGTCACAACGTGAATTTTTCCATACGGGAGAAGTTCTACTTTCACCGAACCCGAATCGGAAAGGAATATAATCGAGCGAAAGAAACTCAATAACGTATGGGAGACGCGAGGGAAAATGGATGATGTGTCCCCCGCCCATGTCACGCGTGTAAACCATATAAACACTGCAAAACGTTTTAAAAGATTTAAAAAATAGTTGTTAGTACCAGATCTTTCCTTTACTAGCTGTTGTCTTTATTCACTCACTCCAGTCATCTATAACGAGGTTCATACGTGAAGAAATTAGCCGCGAGTGTCCGAGGACAGATGGCCAGTGACTCCGTGTACTATTAAATAACCAGGTCATAGTGAAGAATTAGACTTTCAATAATAAGGTTACTGATATGTGTATACTCCCATAGTAAAATGTGACAGGAATGATTGTTAACAAATATTGTCAATAACGATTCAGTGTATAGTATTCATACCTCTTACCAATCTTAATTATCGGCCATCTTGACCACTGACCTCTGTTGACTATGACTGAAGCCGGTCTACCTGACAGCATTCCGCCCGGTCACATTATACTGACAACGGGTGAACCCGTTGGTTCACCCGTTGACATTCCTCTTTATGCTGAACGTTATAAGCAGGGAACAACAACATGGGAAATAGTCATTTACAGTGTGTTAACTGCTTTATGAAATGTTGTCAAATAGCAGGTACTTATACAGATAAAGCACTCTGTGACCTACATTTTGTTTCCCTGCCACACCACCCTACCTTGATGAACCCTAGTACGAGTTATGCTCCTGAAATGAAGTCGGCATCAGATCCGCGCTATTACAAGGAGGCAAGTACTAAACATACCCTGTCTCCTGCACACACACACACGCGCGCGAGCGCAAGCACGCATTCACAACACACATGGAGGCACGTTCTGTAATGACTTAAGCTGTTAATAGGACGTTTATCCAAATAAAACCAAATTATGGGGTCAAACTCCTGAAATGTTGAGTCAGACGGACGCTTAACAAGCCATACGCTTTATATAACATACTTTATCGCAGAGAAGAAAGGGTGTAACCAGTTATATTCAGTGGAAATATTATGTCGTTATCTTTTCATTTCGTGCCACCAAAACAAAATTGAGCAAAGAAGAGAAAGCAAACTTCAAAGGGTATTTGCTTTCCTGTCTATAAAACATGTTCCATATCAGGAGCTATATTTATCAGAACACCAGATTTGTTGCAGTATACTGTGGAGATGAGTAATGATTGCTCGCACGGACAAAAAGCGGATGACCGAGGCACGCAGGGGGAAGGGTTTTGTATAAGTATTCGATAAAGAAGCAATATCTCGCTTTAAGTGTCTCATGAACCATTGTCCACGAATTTTGCTAGAACCGACTCTTGTTCCAATGCCCCTATGTATTAAATGTCGCAATACTATTTATTTGTATATGCTAATATACGCATTGCAATCATATAATAATTGAAATGTGCAAATACCATCGTCATTTGTATACTAAATACATACCATGGATACTTATAATGATTAATTATTATACATGTTCCATATCAGGAGCTATATTTATCAGAACACCAGATTTGTTGCAGTATACTGTGGAGATGAGAAAGGAACTGACCGTGACTCATATTCAATGTCATGAGGTCAAATATGTTAAAATGTTAAAATTACTGTTTTTGAGTAAAAAAAAAGTTAAGGGGAAAGATAATTTACCAGTTACATGCTCGGGTGATGGACTATCATGTTTGTTATTCATGTTGGTCCATTTATAAGGCTACAGGTGTGAGATTAAAAGTGTACCATGTGAGCGATTGAGTCACTTTGGGACTCTTGTGGACTGTGGCAGGTGTGAATGCGCACAATGGCGGCGGGTTGCGCTTGTAGCCAACATGTTAGATATACGCATGATTATATTCAACGTAAAAAAGGTATACTAGCAAAGGTAACCCATACATTTTAATAGTAATACCTTTTTACTCGGTTTGACGGTGTTACAACTTCACAATGCGTATCGAGTAACGTAATGTAATATTTTAGCGAGAACAGTCACCTTCCAACAAAAAGGAAAAAAATCGACCTTAAATACGAATTTGTATCACTGACTCCACTTTCCCGAAAATGTTTTATTTATAAACTTGAGGAAACGTACAGAGCGACGCAGATAAGACAGTTTAACCCTTTCACCACTGAAGACCATAATGGACTCATCCCAATAAATGCAAAAATCGTTCTTGAATACGAATTTCTATCATTGACTCCACTGTCCCGAAAATGTTTTATTTATAAACTGCGCCACAATATACCATTATATAGTATAGTGTCATGTGTGTAAGCACTAGATATAACGTAACAGCCAATAATGATGTTATGCAACCTAGCGTAGAGTTACGTCCCTTAGTAATACTCTCTAAGGTCTCTTCATTATTGACGACTTCCGTTTGTATGCTTTTTACCTCGTGTTATAAATAAACACCACGATGGGGAATCTGGAGTTCGTCTTTGGCAATTATTACCATTATTGGCGTGGTGGCAGCGGTGTTTCGATACCTACGTCGACCGGAACAGACATACGGGACACAAATAAGTAATTGGTAACATAATTTGTCGATCAGAACAGTGAAAAAGACGAGACAATTTATACGATAATTGTGGACTCCTTCTCGTCCCGTGGTATTAAAGTGAATACCATACCATTCACAAACTATAATCATGGCTGCTACGAGAGCGCCAAAACAATGGTCTCTAACAAAACAGGAAACTGTTACCTCATTCGAAGCGTGGAGACAAAATCTCCAGTACACATTATCGCTCGATACAATCTTCGCTGGTTT